CACCTGTGAGGCCACACAATGTGCAGTGGTCTTTGTGGATCATCAATTCCACCCAGAATGTCACAGGGATTAAAAGTCGTATTTTGTTTTTCTTCCTCAGGGTGAGAGCTTGAATTACTGGACAAGTGGCACGTTCTCAAGTCTGGCTCCTGCGTTAACGAGGTACCCAGGTTTTCTGTTTGTGTGGCATTACAGCGTCCAGACTCTGAATTTAAATTCTTCAGTAAATTCTCAGAACCTTTCTGCTCCTGTCGGAAAGCAAGGGCCATGGACGGAGCAGCGCCACCATTTCCTTGAAGGCTGAGAATCTTCTGTAAATGGGTTGTTTTGTGTTTGGGCATAAATCTGTTACAAAAAGGAAATGCAATACACGTTCAGTGAAAATACCATTTAAAGCTTCTCCTTTACCTTTCGGTAAGGATATGAGGATTATGTATAAAACGGATTAAAAAAACAAACTAAAGATATAACAAACATACTAGTAGGAAAAGTACAAAAAACAGGAGCCGTCCACAGAAAGTTCAAAAGTGTGAAATTAGACCACGTTGTTTCCAAACTGTTTCCCTAGCTACAAAACCTGCCCCATACACACCGTACACACCCTCAGTGAAATATCCAAGTAGAGAGATGATTTATTACTCTCTCCTCACTCCTCTTGCTCGAGTTCCATTTTACATGTTACATTGCATGGCCCAGTGTATAGTCCAAGCTATACTTAGTCACTACCCAACAAAAAATGCTCGAAACTTCCTTAATACTGGCCATTTCTGCTCACATGACTGTTCTCTATCCCTGGGAACCTGGTATACACATTTTTATTACATTGACCTTGAGACTATTCCTTGAATATTCCTTGAATATTTTTTCAGTGCCATTTCTCCCGTCTTCCCATAATTCTTTGCCATACAGTTTGGTATCTGTTGATTATTGCTAGATGTACCTAAATAAAATGAAATCAAGAAGCGCACCATCTATTGGGGAGCAAACCAGTAGTGCTTAGAACACACACAGACCAACTAACTTCTGGTGGAACATATAAAGAATGGACATTCCAACTTTTTAAAAAGAACTAGAGATTCATTCTGACTTGGGCGATCAGTAAAGGCTTACAGGCAGTTTTAGTTGAAGGAGTTTGAAAGGCAGAGAGGGGGAAGTTCTGAACTGAGAGAATGTTGTGATCAAAGGAAAGGGATGTGAAAGAACATAAATTCTTCAGGGAATGACAAGCAATCCAAAGAGGCTGGAGCCAAGTCCCAGAGTCTGAGGTGTAGAGAGATAGACTGAGGCCAGACAACAAGTGCTTTCTCAGAGTCCGTGAGGTGCATCTTGAGACTTGACCCCTTCTTTGGACTTTTGAGTGAGCGAAGAAATGGAGAGTATATGCATTTAAGAGGTGGGTGAGGAAGAAGAACCATAGAAGGAGAGCAATAAGGAGCATTTGGAAGGGTAAAAGCAGAATCTGAGAGAGTAGTATCACCCTACTGAAGTGAATTAAGAGTCTCAAAACAATGTGTAAGGAAGGAATCAAGAAGCCTTAAAAATGCATAGAGAGAGGGGGGTATAAAACACTCCATAGATACAGAGACCAGATAAAACAGAGGGTTTTTGGATCTCTTGCTACTCAAAGGGGAGTCCCTGTGGAGAGTAGGCAGAAATGAGCCTGCAGGTTACAGTGTGCACATCAAAGAGGGAGAGGCAGAGAAAGAGAGGTTGCGAGGAGAATGGGGAAGCAAGGTCAGTTTTCCTTAACAGGGCACATGTACATAGGGGTAGTCGTTAGGGTGTTCACTTGGGGACACTTGCTAGGGACACTTCAGCTGGATCCTGAAGGAACAGCAAAGTCTTACAAGACTTTCAGGAGAGCAGCATAGCATGTGGGATTCTCAGCCACGGGGAAAGTAAGCAGGTCTTATAAAAGGGAATAGACTAAGCTTTCTTACAAAGCTGAGGGAAGAAGGAGAGGAAACGTGACGTTGGAAAAAAAGTTTCAGGTGGCAGGTGTGGAATCTATGGTGCATCACCAGAGCATTAGACGGGGCCAATGACTTTGGGCAAGGCGAGTAGAGGTGAAGGGAACTATAAGAAGTGTGCTGAGCGACCAGAACAGGAGAGTGGAGTCGGGGACGTTCACCGGCTCTGAGGGCAAGGGCTGATGGGCAATACTGCTGACCGGGGCGGGGCCTGCTGTGGGCTGGAAACAAGGTCTCTGGCTGGAGGGTGCCATGTACATTTCAGAACCGAAACGCTTGTCTGGGCTCTTCTGTGCTTGTCTCATAAAGCCCTCTGAGATAAATTACCTTCTATATAAGAACGCTGCAAGGAATAAATACATGATTATAGACAGATGAAACACAAAAATGGTGTTAACTCCTTGTGTATACTCTACTAAAGTAATAAATTAATTCTTGATTTAAAAATAAAGAAACTTGGGGCGCCTGGGTGGCTTAGTCGGTTAAGCGTCCGACTTTCGCTTAGGTCATGATCTCGCGGTTCGTGGGTTCGAGCCCCGCGTCGGGCTCTGTGCTGACTGCCAGCTCAGAGCCTGGAGCCTGTTTCGGAGTCTGTGACTCCTTCTCTCTCTGACCCTCTCCTGCTCACGCTGTCTCTCTCTCTCTCTCTCTCCTAGAAATAAATAAAAAACATTAAAAAATTAAAAAAAAAATAAAGAAACTTGGGCAGATACAGATCATAGTTTCATATCTGACATTATTGAACTATTATGGGAACCAACCAACTTTATTCCTGAAACAAATTCAAAAACACTGAGGAGATTCAAGGAACTAAAATCCAATGGTAAAGTTCCCACTGATCACCACAAAAGGAGAAATAAAAAAAGTAAATGATGACGATATCTTAACTTTAAAAAAGAAGGTATTTTTAATCTCTACACCCAATGTGGGGCTCAAACTCACAACCCTGAGATCAAGAGTCGCATGCTCCATCAACTGAGCCAGCCAGCGGCCCTGACAATATCTCAACTTTTAAACAAATGAAACAAATAGCAAGAGAAGGAACATCTGTACATATCTGGAAAACAACAATAAAGCGACAGAAGAAACCTATTTGTTTATGTCAGATAAAGGATGCCAGGCAAGCTTAAAAAGGATTTTAACAGAATTACAAATTTGGTGCAGGAAGGATTCACACACACACACACACACAAAAAAACAAAACTCTATCTCTATCTCTATGTATCAGCAGGCATTGAAACAATGTAACTTTATCTTAGAAATCAGTATCATGACCCAACTTATTCTTAAAATCCATTTATATTGGCCAGCAGGTGAGTAAAATTGCCAATTAAAAGGGTTGTAAACAATAGGAAGTGGTAACTGACACGGAATTCAGCTGTGGGCAAGGTGCTAAGCCTGCTTCCTAAATGTTTGCAAGGATGAACAGAAACCCGTGCTAACACAGGCTGTGGATGACTGCTGTGATAGGAGATGGTCAGTGGGGACATGAAAAGGTGCAGAATATAAATATGGACCATAAGCAAAAACTCAGCTTATTAATGTTTTGAAATTCAGAGAGAAAATCCTGAATGCAAGTGGGACACATAGGAAATGCTGTTGAGAGTGTCTGGAGTTTGACAAGATGAGCCTATGATGATGTGGTCAGCAAACTGATGCCACTTTTTTATGGATTGTGGTGTGTAGAGAAGGAAGACACCGAGTCTGTGGGGACAGAGGGCTGTGCAAAAGCCGGTTTCATCTGGGGCACCTGTAACTGTATATGTTTGAAAATTAGAGAGTTCTTAGAAGAGCAATAATAATGATTAAGGCAATGGAAGAATTGATTTATGAGGACAGATTAAAGGAGCTAAATATGAGTAGCCTAGTTAAGCGACAAGTAGAGGGGTATATAATAGGAGTCTCACAGGGAAGAGAATAATTATTTAGCGGGGTACAAGGGGGTATAACTAAGAGTAATGAGATGAAATTAAGAACGGGAAAATTTAAGCTGAATTTCAAAAAACCCCTCCCTGATGGTATAATGTATTAGCTCACGGAATAAATTCCCCATGGAAATTTTATACTGAGGGGAACTTAATAACAGGACTGCACAAAATACCAATAAATAATACAGATAATAATCCAGTATTTGAAAGAAGGTGGCTACATGCTATGCTGTCCTTGCTTAGAATATCTTCCCATATTTTTCTTTGATAGTCTGTTTGTATATGGTGATTGTTACTCAGAGAAGTATTTAGGCAGCTAGCTAAATCAAAAAGGAAATGTGTCCTTTAGGTGAGGGAAGTTAGAATCATTTTACTTTGCATACACTCTGCAGTAGCAAGCTGAAACAATTTTTTACTACTTTGCTCTAACAGGACTGGTCAGGGAGCAAGCTGGACAAATGTATTCATATTTCTAAAAAACAACAAAACAAAACAAGCCGCATCTAGCATCCCACACAGAGTCTATTCTGATTCTCTGTGCCATGAAACTCATATTTTCATAGACATGTTTAATATAAACAATTTTTTGCTATAATAGAAATCAAAAAACTTTATTCCAGCTTTTCTAAATGTAGTTCTATGGTCAATTACTTCACATCAATACCAAGATCAAATAGGCATAATACTAACAAGCAGTTTGCTTAATAATAGTCACCACACTAATTAACCCATCCAGAACATTCTTAATCAGACGCTATTTGTAATGTACAGTTAAGAGAAGCTTGGCAATAAACTGTTCTATGCTAAAAAAGAAAATAATACCTTACCGATGGGGTGACACTGGCTTTCCTATTGAACTGGACAGAATGTGCTGTCCTGGCATTAACTCAAGAGAGTGACTATGCAAATAAGCTCATGTCTGAACACTTCCTTTCTCTTCCCCAGCTCCAACTCTGGTGGAGGTGTTAATGAGAAGAGAAAAGGTCCTGAGATAAGGAGTGAAAGAGAGAAAAGAGTCAGAAGAAAACCAGTCGGCTGCATTTTAGAGCTTATGCCAGATCTGCCTTTTAATAATCACCCAAGTTTTCTTAAGGAAGTGCTACTGTCCACCTTCCTCATAGATCGTCTTTCCTTGTTTCCGAATCTCTCAGCTCTATCAGGACCTGTTTTTATTTTTAGGAGTATTCTGATTACTGTAATAATTTCCAGTCTATTATTAGCCACGGGGCCCTCCCCCAAACATTTTCCCCAGCCAATAGCTAATCTGTGAAACTGAAGTAGAGCCTCCCTCTTGCCTCCTGTCCTCACAATCACCCTTCCTTCCTCGCCATCTCTGTCTGCAAACATGGTTCCAGAGGCATTGCCACAAAACCCCAGCACTATGGTGGGCAATGTTCAAAGACACAGCTGGTGCTGTGGTCAAAGACCACGTGCACACACACAAACT